TGATGCTGTCGCTATGGCAACAAAGCCCATTGATGCTGTCGCTACGGCAACAAAGGCCGCTGATGCTGTCGTTACGGCAACAAAGGCCGCTGATGCTGTCGCTACGGCAACAAAGCCCATTGATGCTGTCGCTACGGCAACAAAGGCCGCTGATGCTGTCGTTACGGCAACAAAGCCCGCTGATGCTGTCGCTACGGCAACAAAGCCCATTGATGCTGTCGCTACGGCAACAAAGGCCGCTGATGCTGTCGTTACGGCAACAAAGCCCGCTGATGCTGTCGCTACGGCAACAAAGCCCGTTGATGCTGTCGCTACGGCAACAAAGCCTGCTGATGCTGTTGCTACGGCAACAAAGCTCGCTGATGCTGTTGCTACGGCAACAAAGCCCGCTGATGCTGTTGCTGCGGCAGCAAAGCCCGCTGATGCGGTCGCTATGGAAACAAAGCCCGCTGCCACTGTCCCTATGCCAACAAAGCCTGTTGATGCTGTCACTATGGCAACAAAGCCTGCTGATGCAGTCGCTATGGCAACGAAGCCCGCTGATGCTGTCACTACGGCAACAAAGCCCGCTGACGTGGTCGTCACGACAATAACTGCTGATGCGGTTGCTACGGCAACAAAGCCTGCCGACGTGGTCGCCACGACAACAAAGTCCGCTGACGTGGTCGCCACGACAGCAAAGCCAACCGAGGCTATCAGCGCGATGACGAAGAATGCGATCGCCACAGCGACGAAGCCCGCAGCAGTCGGCGCGGCAACGAAAAATGCGATCGCCGTGACGACGAATCTCGCCGCGTCAAAGTCGACCAACACGAAATCGACGGCGGTGAAGGTGCGGCTGCTGCGTCCGCCGCAGCCGGGGGCGGTCGGGCGCGGCGGGCGGCGAGCGCGACGCCAGCGCCTCCTACCGACATCGCACCGCTTTGCGACGGCCGGCGCGCGCGCCCAGTCGCTTCTCGCGCTGCCAGCGACCGTGCTCCGCCGTCTCGCGCGCCGCGCTGGTCTCTGCGAGGCCGTCGGGTTCAACTACGCCGCGCGCACGCTCGGCGTCAGCTGGCCGTACCCGTGCCCGCGTCCGCACTTCCGCACGGCGTGGCGATACCGCGTGATGACGCTGCGCTCGCTCGCGGGCCTGGCGCTGGAGTTGCGCGTCGCGTGGGCGAGCGTGCGCTGGGACGACGTCGCCGCGAAGCAGCCGTCGGACGGAAACAACACGGTGACCACGGAGACGGAGGTGACGACGACGGAGCTACTGCAGCGGCGGAACGTGGGGGCGAACGCGCTGCGCTCGAAGTACCTCGTGCGTCGCATCGTCGTGCCGATCGTAGAATTTGACCTGTACAATAGCACTACGATTTGCTACTAGACACACAAATACTCTCTCCTCCTTTTTGCATCTCGTGACTCTTTCCTTTCGACATTTTGTGAATTCCATGTCTGTTTCCGTGGCAACTCACACCAGCATCGATGTTTGCGTGTTGTCCACAGGCCACCTGCAGTTCTACCGCATGACCGCGCTGGACAAGGAAGAGCAGAAGAAGCAGGAAAAGCTAGCGAAGAGGGAGCAGCGGGAGATGATGGAAGAGCTACTGCAGTTCAGGTCGCTGTGGGTCAAGTACAGTCTGTTCCCACTCGGTCTCAAGCATCAGGTAGGCGTTCAATCTTGTCGTTTATTCCATTGTTCGTTATGTCGTTCGTTCCGCTGTTTGTTCTGTCGTTCATTCCGCTGTTTATTCTGTGGTTTGTTCCGTTATACATCCTGTTGTTCATTCTGTCATTTGTTCTGTTATTCGTTCTGCTGTTCGTTCTGTTGTTTGTTCCACTGTGAATTTTTTTTAATGTGCTAACATTGATGAAATGACTCTTTATTTCATTTTTGTGTGTTTTTTGGTTACTTTACAGCTTAAATATAACCTACACAAACATAAGCAAGTATTTTTAATACTGTTACATAGCTTTTAGAATATTGTGTTATGTAAAATACTGTATTATGTGATATATACGATATACCTCAATATCTGGTAGCCGCGATCAATAACATTCAACCGATTATCATCAATCATCGGTTGCACCCAACCGATGATCGATGATAATCGGTTGAATGTTGATGATGATGTGATGATGTTGATGATGATGTGATGATGTTGATGATGATGTGATGATGTTGATGATGATGTGATGATGTTGATGATGATGTGATGATGTTGATGATGAAATTCCAACCGATTCCCGGACGATAACGCTCACCGCCGCGTGTGTTTCAGGTGTGGAAGCAGAAGTTCTCTCATCCCATCACCCTGTATTCTCTCATCCCATCACCCTGTATTCTCTCATCCCATCACCCTGTATTCTCTCATCCCATCACCCTGTATTCTCTCATCCCATCACCCTGTATTCTCTCATCCCATCACCCTGTATTCTCTCATCCCATCACCCTGTATTCTCTCATTACAGGGTGATGGGGGGCGACGCTCGTCCACGACCAGCTGCCTCGACCCGTGATGCGATACTCCTCACCCTTCTGCTTCCACACCTGAAACACACGCGACGCACGATACAGATGAGAGAATACAGGGTGATGGGATGAAAGACTTCTGCTTCCACACCTGAAACACACGCGACGCATGATACACATGAGAGAAGGCGACACAGGGCAGGCGTGAGCGCGGTGAGGGCCCCGCCCGGGCGACGCCCCGCCACCGTCGTTGCCGCACGCAAGGTGAGGGGACGCCACGTGAGAGGGCGCGCGGGTGAGGGGGCGCCACGGGAGAGCGTGTGCTGGCGAGGGAACGCCACGCGAAAGTGCGTGCGGGTCGGGTTTCAACAAGGTTGCCATGTTAGCATGAGACCCACGGATCTTATAACAACAACAACAATAATAATAATAATAGTAATAATAATAGTGGTAGTGGTATTGGTAGTAGCAGTGGTAGTAGTAGTAGCAGTAGTAGTAGCAGTAGCAGTAGCAGTGGCAGTGGCAGTGGCAGTAGCAGTAGCAGTAGCAGTAGCAGTAGCAGTAGCAGCAGCAGCAGCAGCAGCAGCAGCAGCAGCAGCAGCAGCAGCAGCAGCAGCATCAGCAGCAACAGCAGCAGCAGCAGTACAGCAGTAG